GGGGGGGGGTTAATAAAAGTGTAACATATAAAATTGTATTGAATTGTGTGTTTTTATTATAATAAATTATCATACATTAAATATTTTATAAGTGTATAGCTATTTTACAACGCTGATTATAAAAAGTTGAACTATGTAAATATTTATTTTTTTTTTAAAACTATAAATTTATATTCAATTTTCGTTTCGATTTTTTAGCAAGTTCATCTAGAACATCATTAATATCCATGTTAATATCACGATGAATATTAATTAAGGCTAAACCATTTAAACGTATTTGTCCAGAAGAATTTATCAAATAAGTTTTCAAACAACGGAGTGTTGAAAACGTTCGTTCTCCCGTGGCAGTAGATACTGGAAGTGTAATGAATATTTGAAGAAGCTTAGATATTATTGGATAAACATCTGGACTGGTTTGGAAGTATACTTCTATAGCATTTTTGTTCTTGAGTTCAGAAGATGTTTAAGTTGAATATTTAGTGTACCACAAATCTAATTCTCCGTTTAATAAATTATCATTTAGATTTGAATCGGTACATTCATCAACTATATCTTGATATGTTTCTACTAATTGTTCGAATTTACCTTTAATCTCTTCAGATATTTTCATTTCTATCTTGAGTATAATACAATCAAAATTATTCAAGACAATCCTGTGTGATATAAATCTATCGTTCAATTGGTCTAGAAAATTATCTATGAAAGGTATGAATACTGAGACTCTCAAACAATATTCTGGATTATCTGATTTATATTGACGTGACAAACTAACAGTAATATCAAATTTTTCACCAAATGTTATCACAGATAAAAATAATTGTTGAAACTCTACATCACAATTTTCTCTAACTTCTTGAATAGTATTTTGAACATTAGATGCAGCTTCTAGTGCACTTTAAGTTTCAATAGTTTCCCTGGCATTACAATTGCATTAGAAATTTTTCTATCTTTGCCAGCTACAAGTTGTGCAGCTGAAAGATTATTTAGCATTTTACGAAGGATTAAAACTTGCCTTAGATCTACGACGGGTGAAGACCGATTAAATGGCCCATGTATGTTAAGTGTTCATCGTGAAAGAGTTGATACAAGAAAAGAGAAATTAATTGAACAGTTAATAACAAGGTTTGCAATAGAACAACCACGAAGACTTCAGTTTTTATTTAACTAATTTTTTAGGTTGTAAGGAATATATTTTTTAATGTTCTTTTTGGTGTTGGATTTCATATAATTCTAACACAATTTGTAGTTTACAAGGAATAAACTTTTTTTAATGTATTTTTTTTTGTGTTTGATTTCATTATACCCGGGGGGGGGGCCCCCTGATAAATTTCCTGCGGGCGCCCATGCATGGTATTATTAAAGTTAGTTATTAATTCATATACTTTTCAAAGTATATATATATATATATATATATATATGTAAGTAAAACCAAAATATTACATCATATGTAGTCTAATTGATATACTTGGTTACCTAGAATTCCGAAATTTAAATGATAATTAATTTTATAATTTCTTATAGTCAGATGTGTTCTATTGAAATAAATATAACATGTATGTAATGGGACTAAAGTAAAAGAAATTTTAGATAAACGCAAGTATGGAAAAGCGTACACTTTTCGAATAGGAGGTGTGGGTCATGGTTTTTATCACGGGCGTATTTTATGGGGGGGGGGGACGAAATAGTGATCACCCCACCTTAAATCTTTATTTAAGGAATTGACATACGCATTTCAATTTTTTTTAATGTGGATCATTTTATAACGAAATCAAATTACACGTGGCTGTGAATACTGAATTGGGTTTTTTTTCGGGTCCATGCTTTATGAAAAATCAAATAAAACACAAGCGTAACTTTCAAAACACAGACAGGTGTAAAAAAAGAATTACACAAAAATCGATTCTAAGTAGATCCGGCATTAGATAAAAAAAAACACAAATATTAAGGATTCACCTGATTTCAATATTACCAATAATTTTACTTGTACATTGTGAGCCTGAATTAAAGAAAAAAATTAAAAAACTACTTCGTAATAATAAATATATAGGCTGTACATATATACTGTACAAATAGTTTCTGTTTGTTCATAATTTATTGAGAAAACAAATAAAGATTACATATTATTATATTATTTGAACGTGTCGCTATCCATATATATATATATATATATGTATTTACCTAATTAGTATAGACATAATAGGTAACGCATTTTACGTTGGTATATAATTTGGTTATAATGTCTGCTTTTAAGTAAATATCGTGTATCCCAAATACACCTAAGTAAAGATAAATGAAAAAGTTGTGGTAGATGAGTAATAATGATATTTAAAAACCAAGGTCCGTGTTTATGAAGTCTATTAGATTTTGAGTGAAACGAGGAATGTATTAGTTTTACGATGATGTGTGTGTTTTTATATTTGTTTATACGATTTTGATTAGAAGGATTGCTCTGGTTGTCATCAAATAAAAAGTGAAAGATAGAAAATTAATTTTGGTTACTATAAAGGGAGTCATTTTACGAATTTCCTAACTATTTTCTTGATAATTTCGAAAAACTGACGGAGGGTTATAAAAAAAAGACAACCATTTTGCGACATATTTGCAACGTTAATTTTATTATTTATTATAATTTAAATTATAATTAATATTAATAATACTTTATTAAGACATATATTGACTTTTGGTTTTGATGTTAATTCAGAAAATAATAATCGTAGAGATTTGAAATTTTTACTGAATACATATATTTATTCACTTTAGGTAGATGGTATAATTTAATAAATATTTTTTAGAGCTATTATAGATTGTTGAGTCTTACTTTTTAAGATTTTTCGAAAATATCGGTATAATTCAGTGGCGTAGCCAGGAACTTTTTATGGGGGAGAGGTTCTGCAAATTGATATATATTTAATCTTATCACTATCATTTTAACTGTTATTTGTATTTATCTCGGTATTTTTAAGTCTGGTTGATATTAGTTTTTTTGACTCAGGTAAAAAAAAATAATTAATTTTTCTAGTCTACTTATTTATTAGATAATTTGCCTATAATAATAAATAATCATAATAACAATTTAGGAACTAGGAACTAATATAGGACATAAATATTAGATATTAGAATATTTTCTGTCCAATCACTTAGGTACACTAAAAATTAAATTTTAAAAATATCTTACTATAATGGAATTTTCAGACGTCTTAGAATGATGTCAAATTAAAATAAAACAAATTTAATGGAATACAAATGTCAAATATAAACGAATAAACGAGTAGTAAGTAAAACAGTGAGACACTAACGGGCAACAACTAACTATTAACTAATAACTATTAGTTTTACATAATAAGGTGCTTGTGTTAAATGATCGGCGAGCCGTGAATGCAATAGGTATACCCAAAATAAACTCTGAATACAGACAATGATATCGCTTTTAACTCAGTTATCGGGACCAGACAATCGCTTTATAATCAACCGTTGTAGAAAACCTAAATAATATGTTCCCAAGCAAAAATTATCAAAGTAGTAAAGTATCTAAATATGATGATAATATTATGACTTGTGTGTGTGTGTATGCAGCGTGTGTATAATACGTTTATTGTGTTTATACAAACTCTTAATATGATTTCCAAGTCAATATTCTAAAATATAAAAATGTTAAAGAAAAAAACCGTGTTTCATGTAAAAGTTAATTTACCATCTCAGGTTCATGGGAAGGGGTTCTGATCCCCCCCCCCCCATGGATACGCCACTGGTATAGTTGTTTTGGTTAGACAAAAACTTAAAAAATACAAAAAGATTTAAAAATATAATACAAAGTTCCTAATACATATGAGCATTGTAAATATTGAGTTTAATTTCAAAAAAATGTAATGTCCGTTTGAATATTTGATTTTGATAAAACGATAAAAATCGTGAAAACCTGCTAAATTTTTGTAGTTTAAAATTTATAAAACTTTTAATTTTTATATATTGGGCTTGAAATTGGATACAAGATATTTTATAAGATTTTTAAAATTTAAAAAATGTACTGGAAAATTGCAAAAATGTTTTATAAGCATTAAAAAATGAAATAAGATATTTCAACGAATTTCCATCAACGATATGAAGTTCATATTATGAACTAAGTTATTATCCTATAAATATTAATCGTATTGATTGGAAGCAATTACTATGTACTCGTATTTACATGTATTATAGTTTCGAAATATTTTAATGATATTTGTGCAATTGATAGATACTTAGAATTTTTGATTTTCATAGATCTTATAGAAAATAAAAAGTTTAACTTAAGGAAATTGTTTCTATTAATTATATCAAACATTAAATATTTAGAAGTATAAGCCTATCCACCCGATCTCTTTCACTTATTGTTTCTCCGTTTTCTATTTTTTAAAAGGTCTAATAATCAACTAAAAATTAAAATATTGAAATATTTCGTAGTTGAAAAACATTTATAAATTGTGCCAGAATGATAATATATTCTGTGATTACACTATTTACAGCCGTTTAATCGTAAATATCTTGGATCATAAGGTGAACGCCGTTTAATCACTGAATAATAAAAAAATCAAATAATGAATTAATTATTGCAGAAAATGTAATAAAACTCGTAGATGGTAGATGATAGGCCAAAAATAATGTTTTTTTCTGTTTAAAACAATGGGTTTTTTTAAATTGTTTAAATCAAATGGTTTAAACGATTTAAACTAAACAGTATTCGATTAAATTTAATGATTAAAACATGTTTTAAATTACTGTTTAAAATAAAATGTTTTAAACATCTCAACTCTGGTTTTTATCTAATGTTGGCAGGAGATAAAATAATTCCAATAACAAAAAAGTTATACACATAATTTGTTAGAAGTATGTAATAATAATAATAATATGTAGACAACTATCTAATATTTCCCTGGATTTATTAGGTTCACGTTAAAAATAATGACTCTAAATATATTATATATACTTTACGGTAGACATTAAATATAATATTATGGTTACGTTACCTGGTCTGAGCTCGGTGTTCGGTGAATAGTTTTGGTCACCTGTATAACCATGTATAAGCAACTTAATGGACGCGTTCAGTATAAAAGGAGCATTTAGCAAGTTATCTTGGTCTTCGGTTAGTTCATAGTCTGTTGTATTCCTATGTGTAAAACATACTATAATATTGTATACAACAAAAGCATTGAAATAAGGGACTTTTGTAATTATAAATTTTATTTTTTTTGTTTTGTCTAGATAAATTTTGTATTTTTCTACTCTGTCCTTAAGATACAAACATTCTTACAAAAAACGCAACACATACATACATATTATAATATATACTTACGCCCGAACACACTTTTACAGTTATTATGTATACAATAATTATTCAGTGTTGTTCACCACCGCTGCAGTTTGTCGTCTAATTAAAATCGTCAACGGTCTACGGGGCGTACAAAAGCGCATAGTCTGTGGGGATTTTAATTATCCACGAGGCTTTTGCGTATCCACCCGGCTCCGGTACAGATAATTTTCTTCTCTGGACTTCCTACGTAGGAGGTGGTATTTTATATGTTACACGATACGATATTGTATTTACGTGGTACACTCTAACACGCACACGCATACACAAACACACACAAACATGCATACATATTTAAGTATATTATAATATTATATGCATTATAAGTTAACGTTTCTCTACGTTCCCTTACACATTAACTTATGTAGGTTGTTTGTTATTCCGTATAATACTCATATTTTTTTAAAGTTATTACGCACGACAAACATTTTTCTCTCAACTATACATGTCATCTACTGTTATCCTTTGATCGGCGCCATAGTAGATACATTTAAAATTATTTCTAATGTATATACAATGTTTATTATATATATTAAAATACAGAGCTATGGAAATTTTAATCGCCGTCGGTGTTTTCTGTTTATATAAATACAATCATACGTACTACATACATTCACGTAAGCACATACAAATATACATTTATATATATTTATAATACACACACCTCCGTAATTTAGAACAATATATCCTGGGTGATAAGTCTTGCTCGTTAGCCATTCCTCTCCAACTCTAAAGTACAAGCGAGCAATTTTCAGTGGGTTGTGATTCACCCCAGTCGTCAGAATCGCTTCACGAGCCCATAAGAATTCGTATGTTTAATATAAGCGTATTGTACCTTAACTTCAGAACTTTATGTACTTCATGCAGATATATTAAACTTATACTTGGTGTCGGATTAAGGGTCAATGGCACCGTGGAGCAAATAATTTTTGCCCCCTCTAAAAAAATAAGGTTTTGATGAGACAAAAAAAAATTCTGATTTCAATGTATAAATTAAGAAAATAAAATACTATTATAAAATATACTGAATATAATAATTAATCTATTTACATTAAAAATTATAACTATATGTTAATGTCACAGAATACTTTTCCAAAGAATTTTTTTAATTTAATGGAAAACCGTCACAAAATTCAATTATAATATTAATTAATTGGTTCAAAAATATACAGATAATAATTTAAGTGATTTTTAAATATTAACGTAAGTTAAAAAAAATAATATTATTTATTTTCTTTAAATATAGTATATTTTTTTTCTAGATTTGAAAGTTGCAAATCAGTTCAAAAAAAACATATCAGTTCTTCCCACTTAATTTCCTCAACCAAATCAGATTCTATGCATAAAATTGATAAATTTTAAATTTTTTCTTGTAGTAATGATGATATTAAATAATTTTTTATACGTTTTAAAATAGAAAATGATCTCTTGTATTTGAAAAATGTAAAATATAAATAATTCTAATAATTATTTCGATATTAGGAAACGATGCCTCTAAAGGGCTTTTGATGAAAAATGTTGAACAATAGTTTTAAACTGCAGTTCAATACAATCTGTTTCTTTATCTAAATTGTACAATTCTAACTTAAGGAAAAAACAACTGAAAATCAAATCGGAGTCATAGAAAATAAAAATATAAAAATAAGAAGAAAAAAAGCTGTAAAGCAAAGTAAATATTTAATCAATTTCTTAATAGTTCAATCCATCTTGAGTATACATTTATATAACATATTCTATATTTTAGAATTACTAGAAAATAACAAAAAAATGAAGAAAATATTACAAACATTTTCTCCAAAAAAATACTGGCTAAGGACCGTTTTACTATATACAACTAGTGATTAATGATATAATATGCACAGTGATATAAATTATACCTTGTTTTGGGATAACTTTATCAATAATAGCCGTCTAATGTATGTTGACCACGACTTCGCATTCAACTCATTGAGTTATTTACGATTCTGTACTTATATTTCGTATGGATATTTTATTTAAATTTGTGTATTTTTTTTCCGTTACAAGGTATTCGTTTTTTTTTCTTTTTTTTTTCGAACAGTACGAAATTAACTCGAGCACCTACGCGTTCGATAAAACATATTCTCTATTGTGAACACGGCAAGCACTGTACGAACAACGGCGGTGCTCTTATATTATCTGAGCTTACGTATACATGTATCACGAAAACACTTATGATCCAAACCTTTTTAAATCTAAAATATAAATTTACCAGCACCAATGGAACCGACAAAATTATGAGAACGACAAAATAAGAGAAAACTGAATTATTCACCGAAGTATAATAAAAATGGGTATGTATAGTGTATGTATACGATTACTATTAATTTTCGTGATAAATGCAATGTAACTTTTATTTTATTTATCTAGTTTATCTTCAACTTTCAAATTTTACATGGCGATGGTTATTGTAAAAGCTGTACATCAATCATCATGACAGGTATATACAGGGCCGTACTCAGCTTTGCCTTCCCCCGGGCAAATTAAATCTATGGAGTTTCTTTATTTTTTTAGGATTATGTCTGATTTTCAAACGAAAAATTTGTTTAATTATACATGGAGACCAATAGTTAACTGGTTTTTGACATCCAATATCATACTGCCGTACTAATTAAATATCATAATAACATTCATTTTAATGTATTTTTAACTTGTGTAGTATTTTGTTGTTACATTTTTGAGAGAAAATTAAATACTATAAGATATAAATAATAAGTAGTAACTACATAATATATAATACGAAACGTAGAATTAATAACTCATATCAGTTGGTTAAAGAATAATTAATTTCGAGGAATACCTTTGATCATCAGGCGCCAATAGTTATAGTAAAATAGGCGTAATTATAATTATTGTATAAAAGCATTATACATCGCATGTGATGAAAATGTAAACAGTCTCAATTTAATAATACGAATATATGGGTTATTTACTTAAGCTCCAGTCGGAGTTTGTGAAGATTTTTAATTTTTTTGCAGGCACGGGCCCCGGACATCTCGACTCGAGAAACCAGATCTGAATACGGCCCTAGGTTTATATATATATATGTGTGTGTGTATCAATCAAGCAAAAATAAAAAAATTACGAATGCATCTAATGTTTGTAATTTATAACGTTTCTGCTCAGGTTATTTTTTTAATTCATCGATAAAATAGGTTTTTATCAAAAACATATTACATTGTTTTAACTGCGATTGTTATTTATTTATTTTATTGATCTAAATTACAACTTCAGTTGCTGTTACCATTATTTAAATTTTTTTTTTAACTACATTATTGTGTCTACGTATTAACAGAAAATATTAAGTATAATAATATTAAAATATATAAGCCCGGTACCTTTGTTGAAAGGAATGAAGTTCACATTGCTTTTTGGTTCGATGGCTTTGTATAGATTAGTTGAAACATTATATTGCATTTTTTTGGTGTAGTTTGAGCGGCAGTCTGTTATTATATGCTTGATTAATAGTATTTCGTTACATGAAGTGCATATTATTAGTTCCTTATTGTTCATTAGATGACTATGTGTTAGACGAGCGTGGCTGATTCTTAATCGGTTGATTGTTGTGTTTATTTTTCTTAGTGTTTGGGTTTGGGGCCATAGTTTTATACTTTATTTAATTTGGTTTAATTTAGTTTTTTTTTTCGACTAATGGTTTTGCCAAGTAGGTATTAAATGAGCTTATCGCTATTGATTTTTTAATGTTAGAAAAATATATTTGATTATAATTTGGTATTTCTGTTGACAAAGGTGCATTTTTTACTTAACGGTCTCCTTCTTTTTTTTATTTATTTATTACTTATAATGCAAACATCTCATTAAGTATACTTTTAAGCGATGTATCTCGACATAGGTAAAAATATATTGTAAAGAACAGTTTTATTTACTTATTCGTTAAAAGTTGGTATTAGCACTCTATACACGTTTTGTAAAATAAGTAAATTTAAGTGCAGAACAGAATACAAAATATATGTCACATATAAGGAAAATCCGTCCAGTAAAAATACTTGGAGGTTGGAGAAGAAGGTGTCGATAAATTTACTTTGCATATCTTAGAACCAATTGTCTTAAAATATCAGAAAAAAAAGCTGAGCCGAACAATATTAATGTAGGTTTGGAACAAATTTCGATAACATTTATTAAGGTTTGATTAGTGTTTTAATTTAATATGAAGTATTTTATTTTATACAAAGAAATCATAGGATACTAGGAAAAAATTCAAATATTGGTATATTTTTGCTGATTTATTTTAATCGCATTTTAAAATAGTTATTGTGTTCTCCTTAGAAAAATCTTTTAAACGAAATAGATTAATATTATTGAGAACATTTAATAATTGAGGTACTAAAGTTTATTATTTAGAAATTATTATTATGAAGTAAATCAAGCACTAAACATTCACACTTGTTCTTATACGTATTTTGTTGTATCTGTATTTGTAAAATATACAATTTGTAATTCATTGCTACAATCTTTTTAATAAGCATGTGTGTGAATATAAAATGTGATGCATTAAAGCATACGCCCAATAATGACACTTTAAAATAAGATATTATGCTGGATTTGACTTTTAATTTTTTTCTCCTTATACGACTTTAGGTTTATTTAGATTTAAATCTTTTAGATGTAAATAAGTATAGGAAACACATTTTTATGTTTCCTTTTTGAAACTTTTTTGATTTCTAAATGAAGTGAATAATTTATATTGGTATTAAAATGCTATGCTTATTTTTAAGTTTAATAAGCAGCTGGTTATATTATTTTCAGATAGAAAGAATGTT